ATTTTTATATCTAAATATATTTTAGATGTAAAGTATTTTATATATGAACATTTATATATAAAATTTTGTATCTATATATAAATGTTCATATATAAAATACTTTACATCTAAATATATATTTAGATATAAAAATATATAAATATATAAAACATATAAATGTTTATATATAAAATCCTTTACATCTAAATATATATTTAGATGTAAAATATTTAGTAACTACTGTCAATTTCCGGTCACCAGCTCATTACCCTCTGCCAGGAAAGTCAGCCTGTGCTTTGAAGCCAGACTTTGACTTCTCTGTAGCACAAATTTCTATGTGGCATCTTATTTCATTAGTGGGCTGTTTCAACTGTATTGAAAATCTGTTGTCTAATGTAGTCACCTTCATCAGTGATCATAGCTCAATAACCTGTGTGCAGTTTCTCCATCAGCTCTGGCTGCTTTACCTTGCATACACACATACATACATATATCAAAGCCTTAATTTATAGACATGAATAGCTTTTGTTGTGAGTAGTGAGTTTTTACATTTTTGCTTCTAAGTTTAAATTTTATCTTTTCTTCATCTTTCACCTACCCATCAAAGAAAAAACAAAATCAGCTGTGCAAACAGCCAAGTAAGGGTGTTGTATAAAGGAGTCACTGGGAACTGTTAATCCAAGATAAATAGGATAAGTGTGGGATAACATTTATTTTGCGAATTGGCCAAAACTAGTCTTGGATTTCATTGACCCACCTGTGCTCTCTTGTTCTGCTGCAGTCAGCATTGCTGCACAACTACCCATTAAAACCCATGATGTTTAAAAACAAAGAATACAGGCACTTGCTATGTGACAAATGTTTTCAAGTTGTAAGATTAGTTAATTATTGTAATAGCAAGAATCAGCAGAATGCCCCATAATTTTTAGCCCAAGCCTTACAGTTTCTTATCCATAAAAATTTTATTTTCTTATCTTCTTCCAAGAAGATTTTTAAATACTTGAATGTAATCCTTAATGGGGTTTGCCATGTTTGCTTCATTAACTACTTTTAGTAAGGTTAGTTTTATCCTGTTGTTTTCTTTCCCTCTGTGTTGTCAAACCCTTTTATAATCATTCTTCAAATGTACAGAGAGTTGAATATTTTTGGACTGTCACTGCTATGTGTTTTTTTTTTTTTCCTAAAGACACAGACATTTTGAAGTCGAAGTATCTGGGGAAAAAGGCATACCTTAAAGATTTTTTTTTTAGAGTCTAAACCACTGCAATAAAGCATGTCACATGATTTTTTTGTTTTCCCAGTGCATATGAAAGTTATGTTTACATGATACTATGCAGTAGCTTTATGTCTTTAAAAACTATTTTAAAATATTGCTAAAAAATGCTAACAATCATCTGAGCTTCCAATGAGTTGTAATCTTTTTGCTAGTGAGAGCCTTGCATTTGATGTTGATAGCTGCTGACTCATCAGGGTAGTGGTTGCTAAAATTGAGTAGCTGTGAATCCGTGAAGTTTGCCACATCAGTTGATGTTTCCTTTCATGAAAGATCTCTCTGTAGCATGTGATGCTGTTTGATAACATTTTGTCTAGAATAGAACTTTTTTCAGAATTGGAATAAACCCTTTCAAAACTTGCTGTTGCTTTATCAACTAAATTTATGGAATACTCTAAATCCTTTGTTGTCATTTCAACAATGTTCAAAGCATCTTCACCACAAATGGATTCCATCTCAAGAAACCACCTTGCTTTTCCAAAAGGGGCATTTCCTCATCTGCTCAACTTTTATCACGAGACTGCAGCAATTCAGTCACATATTCAGGCTCCACTTCTAATTCTTATTCTCTTGCAGTTTCTACCACATCTGCAATTACTTCCACTACTCTTGTTGAACCCCTCAAAGTCATCCATGGCGACTGGAATCAACTTCTTCCAAACTCCTGTTAACATTGATATTTTCACCACCTCCTATGAATCTGAAGTGTTCTTACTGGCATCTAGAATTAAGTGCCATTAATGGTGAATCCTTTTCATTAGGTTTCCAATTTATTTTGCCCAGATCCATCAGAGGAATCATTATCTGTGGCAGCTATAGCTTTACAAAAGATATTTCATAAATAATAGAACTTGAAAGTCAAAGTGACTCCATGATGCATGGGCTAAAGAATGGATATTGAATTAGCAAACAAGAAAGCAACATTAATCTTTTTGTATATTCCATCAGAGCTCTTAGATGATGGGGTACATTGTCAATGAGCAGTAATATTTTAAAAGGAATCTTTTTCTGAGCAGTAGGCTTCAACAGTAGGCTTAAAATTTTCAGTAAACAATACTATAAACAAATGTGATGTCATCCAAGCTACTGCTTCATTTATAGAGCACAGGCAGAGTAGGTTTATTATAATTCTTAAGGGCCCTAGGATTTTTGGATTGGTAAATGAACATTGGCATCAACTAAGTCACCAACTGCATTAGCCCCTACCAAGAAAGTCAGCCTGTCATTTGAAGCTTTGAAGCCAGACATTGACTTCTCTGTAGCATGCAAGTCCTGTGTGTCATCTTATTCATTAGAAGACTGTTTCATCTGCATTGAAAACCTGTTACTTAGTCACCTTTATCAATGATCTTAGCTTGGTAGATAACTTGGGTGCAGTTTCTTTATCAGCACTGTCTGCTTTACCTTGCACTTTTATGTTATAGAGACAGCTTCTTTCTTTAAAGCTCATGAACCAACCTCTGCTAGCTTCAGACTTCTCTTCTGCAGCTTCCTTATCTTTCTCAGCCTTTGTAGAACCATAAAATTGAAGACAGTTTAATTCTTTATAGAATTGAAGATGGTTAAGGCCTTGCTCTACATCAGGCTTTGGCTTATGGTGATGTTATAGCTGGTTTGGGCTTCTATCCACACCACAAAAACTTTCTTCATATCAGCAAAACGTGTTTTGCTCTCATATCATTCATGTATTCACTGGAGTAGCATTTTAATTTCCTTTAATAACATTACTTTGTATTTACAACTTGTCTGTTTGATGTAAGAGTCTTAAGTTTTGGCATGTCCAAGCTTTGATATGCCTTTCTCAGTAGGCTTAATCATTTCTAGCTTTTAATTTAAAGCTGGAGATATATGACTCTTCTCTTTCACTTGATTACCTAGAGGCCATGACAGGGTTCTTAATTGGCCTAATTTCAATATTGTTATGTCTTAGGGATTATGGAGGCTTAAACAGAAGTAGATAAATGGGGAATGGCCATTTAGTGGAGTAGTCAGAACACATATAACATTTATCAATTAAATTCGCCATCTTAGGTGGACATGGTTCGTGGTTCCCCAAAACATTTGCAAGAGTAATATCAGAGATCACTGATCACAGAGCACCATAGCAGATGGAATAATAATGAAAAATTTTGCAATATTATGAGAATTACCAAACTATGACACAGAGACACAAAGTGAGCACAAGCTGTTGGAAAAATGGCTCTAATAAACTTGCTCAAGTAGAGTTGCCACAGACGTTCAATTTGTAAAAAAAAAAAAAAAAAAAGCACAGTATCTGCTGTACAATGAAGCTAAGCACAATAAAGCAAGGCATGCTGGTATACTGGAAACCATTGGATCCATAGCAACATTTTCTTCATACATAGAAACATACACGCGTACATATGCAAGTTTGTAATTGCTTCCAAATTACTTCCAGGTTGTTTAGACTCCTTAGTATGTCCGTGTGGACCCTTTGCAGTTTAGCTTTTACCTGCACTTTCCACCTTTATCATCATCAGAAGCCTTCAAAAGAATCTTTGTAGATCTGATGATTCATCCCCACTACCTCCAGGCAATACAGCTCTTCTCTTTGCGTTGAATGAGTTCCCCCTATTTGCCCAATTTTTGAGAGAGAGAGAGATAGAGAGAGAGAGAGTGTGTGTGTGTGTGAGATTCTGTCTGTATTAATTTGGTCCTCGGGCATTTTGTCCTAATTTGAGATTTCCCACATAATCTGAGACACTTCCTAGCACGTAGTAGGCGTCAAATAAACATACGTGGTTTTATGTGAGTGCCAAGTACCATTTCTTTAGGAAGTTTATTTTATCTGATACTGCCTTTAGTAAAAATATTTAAATTGCTTCTCAAATTCTAAATTACATTATTTTTATTCACGAAAAATAAATCTTGCCATATTTTTTCTAGATTGCCACTTTTAAAGGTATCAGATTAAAAGCCATTAGCATCTTGGCATTTTCACATTTGTACATGTACACACATGCACCTGCACAAACACAGAGACACCCTTGTCAGTGAGATTTTTTGCCTTCACTTTTTCTCTGAGTGATAATGAAGTGAAGGTCATAAAACGAAATGTTATTATATGTAAACAGCATTCATAATTCTTCCAAGAAAATGCCAGCATATTTGTATCCAACAAAAAGGGCACAAGTTATGGATGACTCAGTGTATATTCAGCCAAACAAAGAAATCTTCGCTGATTTTATTCCTACTGGAGATATCTCAGTATTGAACACCATTAATCGTGTTGGTCCCAGAATAGCTCTTCACTAGGCCTCTCTTGTCTTTTCAAGACTACTTCCTTTGATTTGATTTTCAGACCATTTCTAGAATGAAGTAGTTGCACTCTGTGGAATAAGCTACAGGGTTTCTCTCACTCACTAAGAACTAAGCACACTACTCACAATAGTACTCATTTAACTCACTTTAGAATTCAGTGGAATTTTTGCCTTTTTAGTGCTGGGTGAGATGATTTTTGGTTGTCTCATGTTAATTGCATCATCTTGAACTTACAGTCAGCAAACACCCTCCCCCTGAATTATTTTCTCATATAAACTAGTTTTTAAGTGAAGCCTCAGGAATCCTATACAGTATATTTAATTGCAGTCCTCTTGGTAGCATTTAGCAAACGTATTTATGCACTTTCTATTTTAATCATAGTCTTTTTAAAAACCATAGACTCTTTTTCATCTTTGTGAATAATTAAGTAAATTATTTTCTGTTTGTTTCTTTTTAATTTTTGTAGTACTGGAGAAAATGAAACTGGATTTGACCCATCAAGATGCTTGGCTCAATAAGAAAACTACGTTAGGAGCAACCTGTATAATTGGGGACTTCAGAGTAACCAGCAGGAAAGAGAAAATTTAATCTTCAGGTTACCGTATTTTCCAAATATTACATGGTACCTGAATTCCACTTTCTTGGATGTCATTGCCTAAATATGGTCTTGAAGGGTTTGTTTTGAAATATTGTATATATTTATTTTCAAATGTATACATTGTTAATAAATTACAAAATGAGAAACATTCTTATTTATGTACATGTTATGAGAATTCTGGAGGAAGTAATATGTTGAAATAGTAACACATTTAGTCTTTTAGTTTAAAACCCCTTATGTCTTCATATCAGGACCCCAGTAACCTGAATTTAGCTTGACACAGTTTACACATTTTTTTTTGTTTCTTCCTTCTTTCCTCTCCTTTCTCCAACCCACTTTTGTTTTTTGTTTTTGCCTAATTTACATGTTTAAAGTTCTACTTAAAAATTTACTTCAAGTTTTACATGTTATAGCTCATTCTTCTGCAGTTCAAGAATTGCTTATATTTTTAAAAGATATTTATTTTCTCTTATAAATAATTGATTTTTGTAAACTCCAGTTCATAGTTCTTCTCGTTTGTAAGTATGTAAAGTAGAATATGAAAATGTGGCTATTTAGATACCTGGCCAAAAGGTCCTATGACCACCAGTTTTAGTATTGAACATAAGATATTTTTACATTTTCATATAAGACAATGTAAATTGTCTTTCTGCAATAAATGTTTTTGATGTAAATTTAGTTTTTAAAAGCTTTTTGATGGTATAAAGGAATTGAGGAGGAACAAAAAGTTTTTGAAATAGCTCACCTAGACCTGTTAATGTAATATATTCTTCGTGAATTAAGCAAAAAATTTTTTTGTTTTTTAAGAGTAGAACTAATCTCTAGCTTTTTTGATGGAACTTTGAAGAAAAAGAACAAATACAAATATACAAATGATATGAGCAATACAGTAATAATCTTTTGCAACTTAATATGTTATATAGTCATATGACTTGGTCTTGGAAGAAAAAGAATTGTTTTGGTGCTGAATAAATATCAGAAATGAAGTGACGGAAAAGATGAAGGTAAAATTGTGGCACAATTTCAGAGAATGCCATTAATGATAATGTGTACTTGTCATCTAATTCTTAGTCCTGAGCTTGCCTCTTTAGTGTGGGGTTACCAGAGGGAGGGCAAGCATGTAATTAAGAGACATCCTAGAAGCATATGGAATGTGATTTATGTAAAACATGCCTCCTGATTAGAAAAATAGTAAAACTGGAAAGACCTTTGTACATCCTCTTAGGAGAACTTATATCTAAACTAAATTGTCAGGCTCTGTCTTCTACCTTACTTTTTCTTTTCTTTAAATATGTTTGTCATTTTTGTTGTTGTTCGGACATTTTTAACCCTCTGCATGCTCATTCTAATAGTTCTGTTTCTATTGGCACTTTCTCCAAAATTTTTCTCTGAATTTCCCTTGTTGAAAGTGACCTTTCTTCCTTGTGAACTCCTGGAATTATTTCTAGCTTTTAAAGTGGCATTTAGTAAAAGTTCAGTGTTTTTCTTACACTTGCATCTCCTATTTCAGGGTTTGGCATACATTTTCTTTAAGGGGTAAGAAAGTAAGTATCTTTAGCTTTGAGGGACATATGGTCTAATAGTATTAATTTAACTCTGCTAACTAGAAGGCAAAAGTGTATCATCTTACTCATCTTTATAAACTCCACAGCACTCTGCATAGAGAGGAGCATGTTTATAAGAAACTCAATAAATAATTTTGACACAAATATGAAATTCTATAAGGGAAGACACTGAAAACTAGTAAAAAAGGTTGTTCTTGAATAACCTTGTATTTAGTGCCGTCTTAACTAGAATTGTAAAGAGGATAAACCTTTCTAGGAAGGGTGACAAGTGTTAGGTGAGGAAGGAGCATCTCTCAGGAGGGTAAACAGTGGCTGTTGTTTTGCTGAGAGATTTTGGCTGTGAGTGTTAAGCTTATATCAAAAAGAAAAGTGACTTATCAATCTGTTTTTATTGCTCAAAGTAACTCTTTACTCCCATTTTTTCTAAATTCCATTGTTTTTACTTTTTAGAGCTCTATTCTCAAGTGTAGTCTGCGTGTTTCTTTGTCATTGCCATGTGAATTCTTTGGTGACAAATGCAGTAATACTTCAAGCACGATGTTTGAGTTTGAGAAATGTATTTGTGAGCATACATCACTTTAATTAAAAAGTGTGAGTACTATGGTCATGAAGTTATTCAGAGTGAAATTTCTGAATGGGGGAGAGAGAATGTGGATAGCAGTTGAGAGTGGGGCTATAAGAAGAAAAGACGAAAAGTATGGTTAACACTCCCAAATAAAGGATGATACAGCCTTGGTTTTTGCTAGGGTTAGCAAAAATCATTTTCCATATGCTAGTTTTAGATGTTCCCCAGCTCATTTGTATTATTGAGTTTTCAGCTGGGCATATATTGTTATAATAGCAGTCAACATGATGTAGGGGCTCAGCATTACATGTCAAGACTATTCTAATTGCTTCATATGCCTTATCTCTTTATTATATGAGATAGAATTGTCTTCTCATTTTCTAGTTGAAGTAACTGAAGTTTAAAGCAATTGAATCATCTTCCCAAGGATAAGCCACTGGTGAGTGGGATTTAAGTCGAGTTAGGCTTTGGTGATCACAGTCTTGACCATTAAATTCTTCCAACCTTCCTTTTTCAGAGATAATGGTAGTGTTAGTATTGACCTCTAACGTGTGCATTTGTGGGTATGTGGTCCATTCAGCTTTAATCCCCAAAAGACAAAACTTACTCCTTTTCTTATTTTTGCTCATGTTTTTTTTTTTCATTGCTTTTAACAGGATAACCAAAGGCAGCATACTCAGTAGTCAGTAAACACATTTCTAAGAAATATGTTGTGTCATCATGCCACATATTCATACTTGACTTGGGTTGGAGACTAGATCATTCAGTAAAAACATACAGGTAAATTAAATCTTGCCGATCAATGTGATCATTAACCTACAATCATAATATACCTTGTATATATCCTTGCAAATAAATATATTTAAAACAATAAACCAAATTGAGATTCTTAGGAGCATTTTTTACGTAATGTTTGTTTTAGATAGGTCACACAACTTCAAATAAAAACTGATATAGATTGAACACCTTTAGAGTAAACCTTAGTGCCAAGTAGGAAATAATTTTTTATAAGTAAATGGAAAAAACAATGTGGACTTTCTGTAATTATATACAGAAAATATACTGATTTGCTAAAATGAATACTTTTGATATTTTAATAGTTCACTTATGAATAATGCATACACCTGATCCAGGATGGGATCCAGGAACAGAAAAAGAATATTAGGTAAAAATGAAAGAAATCTGAATATAGTATAGAGTAGCTAAAAACAACAATAACAACAGAAAGGAAAAACAGAATAAGCCTCAGGAGATAGGAAGCATCCCACCTGGGTGACAGCTTAGAGAAGCTGAGGTGGGACCCCTGCATCTGGTAAGAGACTGCACTAGACCACAGGAACCAGTTTCCACTCTAAGAACTAGGGTGGGACTAGGCATGTCAAAACCTCCTGGGAACTCTTAAATGTGCACATTCCCAATCCTCACTCCTGAGCAGCTAAATCAATCTACACGTGGGTCTTGTGATTTCTCCCAGGGGATTCCTATGTCTGCTAGGTTTAACAAGTAGATTAGATGTTAAGTTTTTCTTTAGCCCAGAGATTCCATAGGCCAGTATTAGGAAACGGGCCAGGGCTCGGAAGGTGTAAGAACAGAAGATACACTTTAGACTCTTGTTAGGTGGTCTTCCCACCTGACCAGATATATCTTGCTGTTTGCTAACATTTTCTCTGTCTTGTATATAGTGGGGAAAATAATTTTCAACTGGTTATGTAGCGAAAAAAATACATGAAAAGCACTTTTTTTTATATAATGAGTGATTTATATTAAGAATGAGCACGTTGTAAATACTGGTAAGTGAAAGTTCATTTCATTCAGTGCTATCGGCTGGCATATTGCATTTCCACACTAGTTTTTTACTTTTATCTACCCTGAAGGTAGATAATCCGTATTCCAAAACACATTATTGAAATTCAATTGCTGTTAGTAACATTTTAAGAACTAGGTAATCTCAAAAACTTCATATACTTTACATGGAGTATGAACAACTTTAATATGAATAACTATTCTAGAAAAAAAATTTTAAGGAAAATTTGCCACTAAATCATGAGCTAAGTCAATGGTTATTTTAAGCCACTAACTTTTGAGACTAGTATTTCATACAGAAAAAGCTAATACTGATACCACATGCTATTTTTGTGTAGAACACTAGGAATATCAAAATATAAGAAAATGAGTCTAGTCGATCCACTGCTATATATATATATGACATATAAATATAGATAATAGAATATATGTAAAATATATATTATATAAATATATATATTTATATATAAATATATAAAAATATAATTATAAATATATTTTATATTATAAATATTTATAAAATATATATTTTACCCATCTTAAAAAAATTAATAATTCAGAAGAGTTACATAATGCCGTGTAGGCCAAACACTGTTACAAGCCTTGTAAATTGAGTTGTTTATTTAAAATATACAACAACTTCATAAGGTAAATTCTATTATTATATGCTTTTATGTGTGTATGAGGAAATCGAAGTACAAGGAAGATAAGCAGCTTCTTCAGTGTTACCCAGGTAAGATATGCGCAAACATGGATTTAGAACTGAGGTGCTCTGGCTGTGACACCTATGTGCATGACCACTAGGCTACACTGACATATACCAGAAAGACACGATTCCTGTAGAAAAGGAGGGTGGGGGCTTTTGGTCTGACTTAGGGAAGCCAGCATTCTCTTCTTGGCCCTGCATGTAGATCTTGGGAGAGAGGATGGAGCAAGTTGCATGAGGATCCCAAAGACCTTTTTGTTTTTTAATAAAGACATGTATAGCAACTCCTTCTCTCTCAAATTCAGAGATAAAGGAATATTATGGTGTAGGAGTAGGTGCTTCTCAAAAGCCCAGTTACATGCAAGACATCAAGAATCCCCAAATAAAATATTGTTGAGTGAATCAGAAGTCTAGGCTGGTAACCTAGGGTCAATAACAGGTGGGTAGTTGAAGTCACCTCTTTCGGGTGCAGCTGCAGGTCCTAGGAGAAAATGACTAAGCTCAGGAGTGTGTGAAACTAAAAGTGTGGCCAGATGGTAGCCTCATCACAGGCATTGCTATGAACTGGATGGACCTTAACCTTCATACCATCACCTCTGCCCCCACAGTTCACACACAGGCACACTGAGTGCAGGGTGTGCATAGGGTATCTTGGCCTTTTGTGTTCTATGTCCAAACAAGTTCTGGTTCAAATGGAAAATGTGGCCTCTTGAAAGTGTCAGTATCCCCACTTATTCCACTGTAGTTGTAACCATTACCTTTTTCTCTCTTTGAGTCTTACTGAATCCATGCATTATAGGCCCACCAGAATTCTGTGTTTATGGGGCAAATGGATTGTCAAAGAGTGGTGGCAGACACATACATGGCGGCATCTCCTCTGCTTTGTGCACCTGCTCCACTGTCTCATCAGTCTTCATTTACCGATTCAAGGTAAAATTAACTATTAAAGCTTTTAAGATAGCAACATCATTGTATTAAACTAAACACAGGGCCCTTCAGAATGTGAGGTCTTGTGCAGTTTCACAGGTAGCATACCTATGAAGCTGGTCCTGGAAATTAGTGTGTGAATGGCATCTAATACCACGGGATTGGATGAGATCACTGTGAGAGTACAAATACAGAAAACAAAGAGTCCCAGCAGCAAGAACCCTAGTGGTCTAAAACTTAGAGGCTGAACAGTAGAAAGAGTTCACAAAGGAGACTGAGAAAGAGTCGCCGTGAAAGTATGAGGGCATGATACGAAGAAATTCAGGTTGAATATCCCTTATCTAAAATGGTTGGGACCAGAAATGTTTTCGTGTTCTGATTTCTTCTTTTTCTTTTTTTATTTTGGAATATTTGCATTGTAATTACTGGTTTAGAATCCCAAATCAAAAAACCCAAAGTCCAAAATACTCCAGTAAGTTTTTCCTTTGAACATTATATTGGCATTCAAAACATTTCAAAATTTTGAGCATTTCAGATTTTGGATTTTCAGATTTAGGATGTTCAATGGGCATCTGGTCATGATGTTATTAATTGCATTTTCTGTGGCTTTCATTATGTGATAGACTATACAGGATGGCACTGGTGTCCAAGAGGCTCACTAGTGAAATAGATTCTGGGATAACTGCCAGGACTATGGGTAGGTATGATAGAGGTAGGTCATTTAGTTGTAGTGGAATAGAACATTAATGCTCTCATAGGGAAGTCTGACAACAGTTAAAAACAAGTTATGGACCAATTTTGCATTCAGAGGGATGTTCAGGGGAGCTGAGATTTGAGTCGTGTGTCTGTATTCATGCCAACCAGGTGTTTGAGGGCTGGGAAATGATACTGGTCCTGTGGCAGCACATGTATGTGGCTTTTTTTCCTAAGGAAAGATAAGCCAAAACCACCTGGCTGCTGACGGCAGCTGCTACAGCAGTAACTATGAAATGGACTAGGACCCCTGAACATTCCTAGAGTATATTTTAGGACAAGAGACTGATTCCTCATATGGAACCAAGAAATAGAGGTACAGTCATGCCCTCATAATTTCCCATCATAATTTAAGAAGCAAAAAGTTATCAGAACTGGCACTATTACTACCCGTGCCGAGTAAATGAAAGCACTCAAAGAGAGAGGGTCACCTTTTTGAGGAGAGTGCAAGGTTCAAAGAAAGGACCTTCATTCCCTCCTCATGGTGAGCAAGGTAGAACTTTCTCAAGCTAAGAAAGAAAGGCCCCAGGAGAACTACTCAAAAGTTTGGAGGTGTCTGCTTATATATTAGGTATGGGGACAGGAAAAGAAAAGAGCATTTGAGAATGATGACCTGGAAGGATGAGCAGAGGAAGACAGAATTAATCTACTGGAAATATCCTACACACACATCTTGTGCTTCAAGATGAGGTTGCATTTAGGATTGAGAGAAGACTTTAAATTAAATGGATTGAGTTTTCAGAGTTTAGAATGGAAATATTGGGATGGTACATTAACTTCTATTTTAGATAGATCAGATTCCTTATTTAGGGAATTATTTGGCAAAATCAGACCAACAGAAAATTGACTGTGA